GTGAAGGGCTTTCTATTTTTAAAAACTGAGATTCTTAACATTTTTTTTAAAAAACACCACTGGTATTTCTTTGATGAAAGGTATATATCTTTACTCTCAGAGTAGCAAAAAGATTCCTAAGAAAGCAACAATTTCTGTACTCCTTTTCTCTGCCAAGATTACATAAATAGCAAATTTTAGTCTTGTGCAGAATAAGGCAGCAGCGCTGATAAATGAAACACTGGATCCAAAGGCTGGACAGAGCTTTTTTGAAAAAGACTTCACACATGGTTATTACCAAGGGAATAAAGGCTCAAACAAGCCAATGACATCTGGCAAATTTCAACTTTTAAAAACCTAGTTAAAAACAGCCTATTAAACTGCCAGCACTTCACTTAAAATGGGAAAACCGTAACATGTTCGTGAGAAAGTACAGATTGTTCCTATATTTAATGCATTAAAGGATTTAAAATCCACCCAACATGGCAGGAAGTAAAAATTTCCACTGTCGCTATTACAAAACCCATAAACCTCTCTATCAATTGTAATAGGGAACCATTGCTCATCAGGTCTAATATTTAGATTTTTAAATTATATACACAATCCTCCTAATGAACTGATGTTAAGGTAAATAATGGTTAGAAGATTGGGACCCTAACTGCCCACTGGGAACATATTAATGCATATTTTCAGATCTCCATACAATTTACCTAGAAAAATTCCTATTATCTATTGTAAAAGTGAAAACAACAAAAAGAATTATAACTATAAAAACTATTGCTGTGTGTAAAGTACACATTACACTTGTAGTCCAGCATGCTAATACATACAAATTGGTGTGTGTGTGTTACGGGAGTAATTCCTTCAATGCCATTGTCTTAAGGTTAGTTCATAATACTGTACTCTCCTAAAACACCTTTAATGAATATAGTATTTCCTTTAAAAAAACACCAAGGAACAAAACTGTAAGTGGGTGCTGCAGATGTAGGCGAATATTTTTTTGACTTTCCATATCCAAGTGATTGTTAGCATTCTTGCACCAAATAAAGCACATTATAATTCAGCAAGTGCAACTTTGTGATACTAACTTCAATACACCTGAGCAACTGCAATAACAGTTGTTGAAATCTGAAAGGAAGCTTTTAATAAAATGCTGCTTGTTTGGAAATGACATCTAGCAGTGAGTATTTCCTCTTCTGTGTCAGGTTTGGTTAATTACCTGCATTATCTTGTTTTATAAGCAGCAGTTGAAGCATCAGAAAACACTATTTTATACATTATGGGGTTAACCTCCTATCGAGAAAGAATTTACAAATGCAAGTTACAGGCATAAATTCCTCAGCATGCCCTTGAAAAGGAGTCTATTTTAGATAACTTTGATTCCACTGTAAAATTAAGGTATTTTCTCCAAAAATTTAAACAAAGACATTTATATGTCATTTGGGGTGTGCAAACTAACAGGGCCGTGGATGGGCAGGGATGTGGTGGGTGAAACCAACAAGTTGCCTGACATTTTTAAGATGCAGATGGAGTTTGAAAATACATTTTTGCATCACAAATCACATAATGTGCAAGGAAAATTTACCAGGCATAAATCCAATAGGAATCAAAGTTTGGTGCCTTTATTATCATTGTTTGTTTTTATGTCGTACCACCATTAAAGTGTTCCATTTTTGGATATCTAGAAATATTTATCCATATATATGTGGCATTTGATTAGATGAATACATTTAACAGACAGGGTTACAAATCTGCTTGAAGCAGGAAAAAAAATCAAAGAATACACTTTTTTGTTATAGCTCTACATTTTTCTTTCTTTATTGCATAAAAACAATCCATGTTTATCAAAAATTGTGATGCAAGTAAAATTGTTTACTTTTTCAGCACTATCAACATGCATCATTTCTGATAGATAAAAAGCAAGCACTCCATAAAAATTGCTCAATCACTGTCAATCATACAAGGTAAAATATACATAAACCCAAGCACGAGAAGGAAACTATATTAGATGCAAACTGAATACAAGGTCCCCAATATAACATACAAGAAACAAATAATTATAAATCACTTACACATCTTACAAAACTGTCAAAAGGTGACTAACCACCGAAATCTCACAGAATAAGTTCAGCATCCTTAAGTTTACATATATTTTGAAGTGCTGCAAATTATGTCCCTCTTTACAACATTCTTGGGTTTTATTTTAAAGGCTCTGTTTTCTTTGTTTCCTAACTGCTGCTGAAATTGATTTTTCCCATCTCAATTATTACTAATTTGCCTTTTAAAATTAAAGATAAACTGTGCTATAAAAAAATCAATATGTTTTATTTTCGCAAATTAATATTACTAAGTTAAAGTGGAACACAAAATGGTATATAAAATATTAACATCAAAATGTTGGTTTATCACAAATGGATTTTCATCACAAGGAATTTTTACAAAAAGCAGGAGGAAAAAGAAAAGCTAAGCGACTTATTTCTCAGGAGACACATATGGGATTGTGCTGTGACTTATCCATTGTAGCTAAATTAATAATAGTATTTTTAGCATATAGCCCTTCTTAATGCCGACAGTAAACATGGTTGAGTAATATTTTATACTATTATTAGTGCTAAATTCTATATAATTATTTCATAATTTAAAACATACTTGTATAGTTCACTGGCCTGAAAGCTTAAGATTTAATGTTTGGTGTGTATTTCATTTTTCAGCTGAATACTGGATATTATCCAATGTTAAATGGGTCAAGAGTATTTTCTTATTAACATTAATCATTCAAACAGTTAATGTAAAAAAAAAAGTGTTGAAAAGATGAAAATTGTTTTTAAAACCTCTCGCATATACTACTTCCAAATTCTAGGCAAATTAAAAATTAAAAAAGGAGGCATTTGTGTTTGCACTTGAGGGACTATATTTCCACTATGATTGGTAGGATCAATGGATTGTCAGCACATGGCATGCACACATGCACACACAGATCTACTATTTGTTTTTCTCAAAGGAAACTTGCCTCAGTGACAAACATGAAGTAGAGAAAAATAGATACAGGCATTTATTGGTAAGAATTCAGGTTGTGACTGAAGAAAATAAGATGAGGCTGAATGGTTCCCAGAAAGCGTCAAGCCTGCAGCTTCCATTCTGAAACGAAGAGACTGTCATGTGTAAGGCCATTTTTTATATATAGCAAAATGTCAGGACATTGTAATCTGTAAATAAATATTAGTGTGCAGAAGTGAATGTCTTCTGAGCATGGACTGAGCATGCAGTGGGCCCGTCAATGCAAATAAAGACAGTCTTGAAAACAAATTTAGAAGCATCCAGCTCTCAACAGACCGACTCTTTCAGTCCTGGCCTGTTGCTATCTCTAATTCAGACATTGCAAGATTTCCTCTTGGTATCCAAGGAACTCACATATTTTAATCCAGTTAGTAGGCTTTGTTCAAAACACTTGGAGTTTTGTTTTCCTCCTTACAACCATGCAAACAGCAATGCACTTTTTTCCTCCTTTAGAATAGAATAGAGCTGGAAGGGACCTTAGAGGTCTTCTAGTCTAACCCCGTGCTCATGCAGGAGACCCTATATCCGTGATGGCGAACCTATGACACACGTGCCTGAAGTGGCACGTGGAGCCATGTCACCTGGCATGCGCGGCATCGCCCGTTCCTCTTCCGGGTTTCTGGCGCGCATGTATGTGCAATGATCAGCTAGCCTTTTTGTATATGGCAGTCCTGGAAACTGGAAGAGCTGGTCTTCCGTTTTCCTGTGTGAGTATGCGTGCCGGCCAGCTGATCATCACGTGCGCATGCGCACCAGAAACCCAGAAGAGTAGCTGGCTGAAACCAGAAGTTCAGTAGCTGAAACAGGAAGTTCATTTTCAGGCACATGCATGCGCCCTGGGCAACTCCTGTTCCAGGTTGCGACCCTGATGCCTATGCGCTCCCTTTTTAGCACTCGGTGCCGAAAAAGTTTGCCATTACTGCCCTATACCATTTTAGACAAGTGGTTGTCCAGTCTCCTTAAAAACTTCCAAGTGATGAAACGCCCACGATTTCTGAAGGCAAGCTGTCCCACTGGTTAATTGTTCTCACTGTTAGGAAGTTTCTCCTTAATTCCAGGTTGCTTTCAACCATTGTTTTTTGTCCTGCTCTCTGGTGCTTTGGAGAATAATTTGACCCCCTCTTCTTTGTGGCAGCCCCTCAAATATTGGAATACTGTTATCATGTCACCCCTAGTTCTTCTTTTCTCTAGACTAGCCAAACCCAAATCCTGCAACCGTTCTTCATGTTTTAGTCTCAAACCTTTGATCATCTTAGTTGGTCTTCTCTGAACTTTTTCCAAAGTCTCAACATCTTTTTTGTAGGGTGATGACCAAAATGATGACCCGCAAAAGGGGTTTTATAAAGGTTTTATAAGGTTTTATAAAGGGGTAAAAAGCACTTCACGTGATTTTGATTCTATACCTTTGTTTATACAACCAAGGATTGTATTAGCTTTTTTGGCTGCTGCTGCACACTGCTGGCTCATATTCAAGTGATCATCCACTAGGACTTCAAGGTCCCTCTGACAGTTAATGTTTTTGAGTCAGGTTTCGCCTAATCTGTACCTTTGGTTTTTCCTCCTAAATGCCTACATTTTCCTCCTTCACATTGCCATCTTTAATTATCTAATGCATTTATTTGCACATTCTTTCTTCTTTGTTTTCAGGATTGGCTGAAACACACACATTTCACAGCTCAGTACAAATTTAATTTCACATCAGAGATCATTGATTACCTTAATTTCACCAATGAGCTATTGGAACTACTTAATTCATAGAGACATACACACCATTTCACCAGTTCTGTACTACACAGTTTCTGTGCAACAGCTCCCAAACCCAAGAGCATAAGGAATCTACTTCACACCTAACCATTTAATGTGTTAGACCATAATATATACAGTTTCTGCTTAACATAATGTGTGAGCTCAGCCACTGTAATTTGTAAATCGTGCCTTATAGTTTTATGTTTTGTGTGAACCAGGCCTCCAGAGATGTGTTCAGCCAAGGACCATGTTGTGTGATAATCTGTTTGCCTACTTCACCTGCCCCTGCCTTCTCCAACCTTTCTCAACCTAGTCTACGTGGGTATGTTGGATTTCATCATCTATTGGTTATAACAAATGAACATAGGAGAGTTATGAGGGGCCCCATGCAGGAAAAGAGTAATTTGCTTTGACTGGCAGCAATTCTCCAGAGCCCCGGGCTAAGATCTTTGCTATCATCTGCTTCTTGATCCCTTGACTTGGAGAAGTTAGGAACTGAACTTGAGGAACTGAACACCTCTGTACACAAAGCATATCCTGTAATATTGAACTATTCCTGCATTAACCGAGGCCCAAAAAATAAAAAGATATGTTCTATCTTCCAAATATCTGAATGCTACTCCCTGCCCTGGGGATGGGATGAGCAGAGAACTGTGTACATCAACCCACGTGAAATATAGCACAAGGATTTTGCTACATTATCTCACCCATCGTGTTTTTTCCCCCCCTTACTCTGAAGCAGCCTCGAAACTCCACATAGAGTCATAAAAAATAAATTGCATCAAATCACTGGGTGCAATGGCATGGAATGATGACATTTGATCACAACCCCTGCTAGGTTAACTGGTGATGAAGGAGCTGTTGAAGGACACTTGCCTGGGTAGAAATGAGAGAGAAATAGAAGACCCTACATCTCTATAAAAGCACACAAAGGATTCTGATGGGAGATTTCGCACAATTGCTAACACTGAAAAGCCACCATGGGATATTGTTTTGGCAGAGAAGCGATTGGGCTGACCTGATCTCGTTATCTTGCAGTCATGCAACAAACCCGTTAAAACTAGTCCAAACCTGATCAGACGTGTCACCCCCTGGTGACATTTCACTTTTTTGATTAAGATGGCAAACTTGCCATTTTAACCCAAACTGGCTGAAAGGTCTTTGTTAAACAGTAACAGGTATAAGTGGAAGGCTGGTTTCTTTTTCCCTGGAGTCACCTAGAATTACAGAACTTACTATAAGATGCGGAATTACAAAAAAAAAAAAAAAAAAACAAAGAAGATAAATATTTACCTTGCCAATATTTTCTTGGAATCCATTGGTCTTTTATAGTCAAAAAAGGACAGAGACGCCATTGTATCCAAATTATCGTATTTTTGCAAAATTTTGCAAAAGTCTCCCGACCATTCGAAATACAACTATTTCAGAGATCTGCAGCAATCTGCCTTCTCCCTGCTGCCTAAGCATAAATTTCCATTAAGCAACAGATACCCAGAGATCAAGTTACCCCATGCCTATACCCCAGAACCTGGGGATGGCCTATTCTTATTCAACACCAGGAAAAAGAGAAAAGAGTTCTAAGCTCTGATACAGTTAGTCCTCGACTTACGACCACAACGGAGCCCAAAATTTCTGTTGCTATGTGAAACATTTGTTAAGTGAATTTTGCCCCATTTTACGACCTTCCTTGCCACAATTGTTAAGTGAATCGCTGCAGTTGTTAAGTTAGTAACATGGTTGTTCAGTGAATCTGGTTTCCCCATTGTCAGATGGTTGCAGAAGCTGATCACATGACCCCAAGGCACTGCAACCGTCATAAATATGAGTCAGTTGCCAAGCATCTGAATTTTGATCATGTGGTCATGGGGATGCTGCAACGTAAGTGTGAAACATGGTCACAAATCACTTTTTTCAGGGCTGTTGTAACTTCGGACAGTCACAGAACAAACTGTTCTAAGTCGAGTATTGTACTGTTCTAAATGCCTCTTCTCTTTAAGAAAAGAAGGGAGGCAAGGAGAGGATAACCAGTGTGGAAAAAGTCTAGTTAGATTTATCTGTGTAGAGACAGTAAGCTCTGAAATTAGCACCTGCAGATTACCACAATACATATGCACATCTACTGTACATTGTAAATTTGTTCTTAGAGCAAGCAGCAAGCTTCTAAGTGCCAGGGCACAAAGGTTAAAGGAACCTAGTGGCTAAACAATGGGATGGGCAAAGAACAGGTGTCCACAACTCGTACTTTGAAGAGGAGGGGAAAAAAAAGCCAGCTGGTGTTTTGCTGCCATGTATTGTAACAACCATGGAAAGTGGCTTAGGTAACTTCAGCAGCTCCAATCTCTTTAACCAGCAGGTAGGCAATTAATCATCTATTCAACAGGCTTCTCTGAGGGCCCTATTTTCATGACTCTTTTTTATTCAAAACAGGTGTATTAAAAATAACATTAAAGTGCTTGGATTGCAGCACCAACAGCATGAATTTCATATGCTGCTCTGCATTACCCGTCCTCCACCGAATAAGTCTTCTGTGTTAGCGAGAGACTAGGGCATACTTCAGGGAGAATCTATTACCACTCAATGCAAACAATATGAAACTAATTTTCATAGGGAAGAAACCGGGTGAGAAACAGTCCCAGAGGCAATTTGTTCCTGCCAAAGAATGAACTTTAGTGGCAGGAGTAACAATCAAGGTGGTTTTGTGTCTGTTGAAGCTCACAGAACCTTTCTTTAGGTTCTGCACCTTCTGTTTTGCATATTTCCAGCAGAGGACATTGCATATTGTCTGTGTAGTTGTCACTGGCCAGTGTTGATCAGTCTGGAAAATAATGCTAGACTAGACAGACTTTTGTGCTGGTTACCCAAAAAGCCCTTCATAGGCCCTGCTTTTCTCCAACAGTTTCTGCCTTCCCAAGAAAAGTAGGCAAAGTGGGTGCATGTCAGGTCCCTTCAATTAAACAATTTTGTCTGTCAGGCCCTAGGAAGTGTACCTTCTCCATCACAAAAGCATCCCCTCCAAGACCTGTATGTTCCTCACCCTGATAATATTCTGAAAATCCCTGAAAGTAGGTCTGTTCTATCAGGCGCTGCAGTAGTTTTTGAGACCATTATTGTAGGGGTCCCCAATGGCCGGTCTGAGGCTCTCTACCAGGCCGCAGCCCGTTCGAAACCGAGCTGTGGAAGTGGTGGGCTAGCACGCGTGCACGAAGCTGCATTTGTGAAAGTGGCGTGCAAGCAAAACCATCCTTTCCCCCACCCCCACTGCTGCCGCTGGTCCACCGAGCTGGAAAGATTGGAGACCGTTGCCCTATTGGTTTGTTCTGGTGTGATGTATTTGTTTTCTGTGATTGTGCATTGTTTTATGTTCTTTTTTATTTCATAGGGGGATTTTTAAATGTAAGCTGCCTAAATCTGTTTGGAATTGGGTGGTCATAACCCATCCCAAATTACACCTATCCCTTAGAAAGTTCTTTAGCACGAAGGGAGGCTCAGCCAATCTCACAGTACCGTGTTTCCCTGAAAATAAGACCCTGTCTTATATTTTTTTGAACCCTGAAATAAGCGCTTGGCCTTATTGCCATGAGCTCAAAAGCCCGATTGGTCTTATTATCAGGGGATGTCCTATTTTGGGGGAAACAGGGTACATGTTGTACTCTGACAATAAAGGTTTGAATTGAATTAAATTGAATCTAGCACTCCAGCTCATCTTTGCCTTTTTTTTTCTGAACAGGTAAGCACATTTTTAGGTGAAAAGAACTGGTTGAATCTAATTACCTTTAGCTAAAAATATACAGGTAGTCCTCGACTTACAACAGTTCATTTAGTGACTGTTCAAAGTTACAACAGCACTGAAAAAAGTGACTTATGTCACTGTTTTTCACACTTACCACCTTTGTAGCATCCTCACGATCATGTGATCAAAATTCAGATGCTTGGCAAACTGACTCATACTTACGACTGTTGCTGTGTCCCAAGGTCCTTTTGCAACCTCCTGACAAGCAAAAGCAATGGGGAAGCCAGATTCAGTTAACAACTGTGTTACTAATTTAACAACTACAGCAATTTGCTTTTAACAATTGTGGCAAGAAAGGTCATAAAATGGAGCAAAACTCACTTAACAAATGTCTCACTTAACCACAGAAACTTTGGGCTCAATTGTGGTCGTAAGCTGAGGTTTCTTTTTCCGTGTACCTGTATATACAAGAACCATTTAGGCTTGAAGATATTTATGGATATAATAAAGGTTTATTAATACGCAATTAAGGTAATTTATGTAATGTAATTTATGTAATGTAATATGCAATTAATGTATTTTTTTTTAACAGTAAAGCATTGTTAAACAAATCATGTTCATCACAATGTACAAACCCATGAATGAAATGGTAGCTACTTCCAATTTTGTGAACAGGTATTTCTCTAGGAAAATTCAGAAGGGAAAGGGGTCACAGTTAGAAGCAAAAGTGGGCACAACTGCTGTGAGACTTATCTTTACTATACCAATAAACAAAGGAACTGAAAACTCATTTGTTTCCACTCATTCTTCTGCCCCAAAATGTATATGCTCCCCTCCCAGTATCTTTATAGTTGGTCACCAAAGGAAAGAGAACAATAATGCGGGGAAAAACAGTATAGTACAGAACCAGAAAGGAACCATCTTCCAGTGGTATCCAGAAACCTTCTGATTAGGTTTTATCAACCTGAATTCAACCACCACAATTTTATTCAGAATTTAGACTGACTAGTTAAAGAATTAATGCCGTTTTTAACCACTGTTGCATTAGACGGCCCTCTGGAAGCCATGGTGGTTCACGAAAGAGCAACTTTATAGTCTGACTTTATTCAAAAGGAAGATGACAACGTGCAGAAACAAGTCTTAATTACAGTTCATTTGCAGCAGTTTGCATATACACAGCACTCAATTTTGTGCACAATAATAAGACATGTTTCCTGGACTGCAAGTAGCCACCTGGAACTTTGCTTGGGGTTTTAGATATTTGTCTTTATTCTAAACGTTATGAAAACAATGCAGTCTCTCTTGATTTATTATGTGCCATGACTCCTAACCATCACATAGATTTTCTCCATGACAATCTATCCTTATCCATTCTTTCAGGTTTCCCAACTGATTGTCTGTCTTCCTTCCTTCCTTCCTTCCTTCCTTCCTTCCTTCCTTCCTTCCTAACGTGGTTCCGGATTTCAGCAGCTAATGTTTAGCATTGTACAATTTTGGACCTTAGGAAAACTTTTCACAATTTGTTTTCTTGACATGTAACCCCTCAACATTGTAAAAAGGAAGACTAAAAAACACAATATATGCACTTCATGTGATTAGTACAGGTAATTCTGGATATACAAGCCCAATTGAGCCCAAAATTTCTCTCACTAAGCAGACATTTAAGTGAATTTTGCCTCATTTTATGGCCTTTCTTGACACAGTTGTTAAGTGAATCACTGCAGTTGTTAATTTAGCAACACAGTTGTTGAGTGAATCTGGCTTCCCCATTGACTTTGCTTGTCAGGAGGTTGCAAAAATTGATCACATGACCATGGGGCACTGCAATCGTCATAAATATGAGCCAGTTGCTAAGCATTCAGATTTTGATCACACAACCAAATGCTGCACTGGTTGTAAAAGAGAGAAAACAGTCATAAATCGCTTCTTTCAGTGCTGTTGTAATTTGAAATGGCCACTAAATGAATGGTTATAAGATAAGGACTACCTGTATGTCATAACATCCTTAGGGAAAGGAGTTTCTTTATTCAATCAATTTGTGTATTTCACAGGGAGATGTATTGTTGAATCTGAATGGAAACAGAAACCAGAAACATAACATTACTACTGGATGCTTTATTCATCTTGATGGAAGTTTCCTATGTCAATGTTCAGGACATTTATGGGTATGTCTCTAAAAGGACAGCTGTTTCCTTCAGCGTTGTAAATTTCAAAGTCAATATCATGATTTTAGATTCAATATTTAATGATGTATAATTATAAACTGAAAATTTAATCAAATATTAAATATGTTTTGCTGCTGTTCTTAATTGTCCTACATTTTCTTACAATGCAGCCTATCAATATATGATTTGAGGAGGGGGATAATTTTTCATCTGGTTTATCCCAAAGCTTGAGGCTGGTTAGGGCTGGAAAAGAATGACTGGTTATTCAGTCCTACAAAGGACTTAAATCCAGATCTTCCTCTCTTAGACCAGCAGCTTAATCACTGCACCATGCTGGTTATTGGTAAGCTAAGATATACGGAATATCTAAAATTACACCAGCCTTTCCATTCATTCCAGTGTTTTCTCATGGTTCAAAGAAGTGTGTTGCTTTATAGCAAAGACAAAATAAAAGGACTGGGTGACAATCAAGTAGAAGTGCAAATGGAGACCCTTTCAGCAAGAAATAAAAAGTGAATTGCAGTCAATGATTAATATCGGAATGTTTCAGTTCAAAACAAATGTTGATTTCAGATGATGATGTGACGGCAAGGAAAATGAGACCTAAGATTAAAAAGGTTGGGATTTTCACTGTTCTAACAGCCTGATATCTGGCAGTCCTAGTTTCTAACAGAGGATTTCCAGGATTGCAGATCCCTGTGGGGAAACTCTGGGATCTCTTAGATTAGGTTACACTAGGGAATTTTAGGATTTAAATGGCTAAAGTGAACAGTTACAGCAATTAGTATGAAAAGGGCCACCAATGCTAGGCATAGTAGAAGAGATTAGTGGAGTGACAACACTGAACATATGGCATTTGTGGCAAAGTACATCTTGACAAGATCAGATTGGGGAAGGCTGAATTGCACCTTTGAAGGAATGGGTGGTAAACCATAACTAGTTTTTGATGTAATTCAGAGGCTACAGCTTTGATTCCAAATTACTAATAAATGGACTATATCAATCAAGGTCAGCTTTCTGCAAAACTACCCACTTACACTAGTTGAATTTTCAAAGTGAAGTATCATCATGGAGAACTAGTTGTTTTTATTCCTATTAGTAGCCACAAGCTAGTGGAGCAGGCACAACTCCAAAGATAAAGTCTAGGCCTGTGTATATTATATTAAGTATGGGGGATAATGTATTCTTCCTCAACATGGTGCTTCTTGGAACTACTGAGCACTACATACACCTCCTTGGGTTGTGCAAATTAAAGGCAGGATTTAAATCTAAATAAATTATATATATTCCCAGCTACTGTGCCTTTGTCCAAGTTAAAACAGGAGCTATTTTTAAGAATATATCAACGAGTTGTTGATATGTGTAGCAAGTTTTTCCTCTTTCACTATGATTTTAATTCACATCAATTTTGATGAAAATTTTCAGTTTTGTCTGAAATACATCAGTTACAAACACCAGTAACTTGTCTGAAAGTATTAGCAACAATGTCATTATTGTCGTGGGTACCAACTTCACAGCCATGTCCCAAATCCCAAGAGACATCAACTCAAACAAGATGATATTGCTGTACCACAAGTAAGTAGTAACCACAAAACTACTTCTGCATTATTATTATTATTCTGCATTATTATTCCAACACATGCTTCATCTGTATGTTTCTCAATTGATATATTATTTGTGAAATCTTTATTTTCTCCTGAGTTCCAGTTCAAAAGTAAGATGTCCTAATGTCTTTGCCCCTAGGAAGATCAGTGTATCATGCAAAGGCTGCTTGGTGATGTAAGTGCCACTTATCTAAATGAGATTTATGCACACTTGTTAGATGGAGAATAGTGGCAGTTCTTTGCATGTGTGGGTGATATAAATAACCCATTATTTATGGAAACAATATATTTGGAAGAAGGTTGTTTCAAAGCAGATAATGGTACTCAATTTAACAACCAAAAGTCTGGGCCCTTTTCAGAAGTTATGCATACACACTGGAATCACTGGCTGCTCCATATACATACAGTAGGTTGTAATTGGGGTTTTAGATGCTAATTGTGTGTGGAAACTGGAGAAAAGACGGTTTCAGCTGAGGAAAGCTCAAAAAAAGAAGAGGACCATTTTGAAGAATTACAATAGAATACAGAAGATAACAAGTACACTTTAGATATGGATTTCTCCTTTTACTATTATGCAGGATTTCATTAATAAATGTATGCATATATATACAAATTTATGCTTAACATTTTTAATTACCTATTTCAATCAAGCTGGAACCAATTACTCTATTTCCCATAGAAATATCACTTTGAATAGAGCAAATTTGAATAATGCAACCATTTCATGGGATTCATTATCTACACTAATCGAGACCTACCTGTATGGTGCACAGCTGCTTGATTTTCTACAAACTCAAAGATTATTTCCACATGAGAGATGTAAAGCACTTTCTTTAAAAGAAGTCACAGAAAAAGTTGAGAAGCATACAGAGTTAGAGAACTTACAAACACATAATAAATGTCTTTAAACTCTTTATGGAGTTTATATACTTACTGTGCGAAGCAAAAATGAGAGTTTGCTTTTATATCCTAGTTTTTAGAGGAAAGACTGGAAAAGAAGACTCTTAGGTCACACTTTCCTATGTTAGTTGTTTTAATTTGTTTTCTGTGATCCATTGTTAAGGTGCTGCAAGTCACATCTCAGAAGCATAAAATACAGGTCTCCAGTTCTTAATTTCACACTTGTGAATATTTTTTTCAAGAAAATACAAAATTATTTCAAGTATAATAAATACTGTTCCTTTTGTAAGGCCCCAGAACCAGCAAAACCTGGTAACGGGTTGCTGTGAGAGTTTGGATCAATTTTTTGCTGAGAGAATAACTCAAAATCTTGATTCCCCATGGGCAGAATCAAGAAAGAACCCTGTGATATTGGTGGGATTTCTCTCATTCTGTGAATCCTAAGAAAATAGAAAGGATACTGGACAGTATGAGTGCCGCCATTTGTGAACTGGACCCCTGACCTTCCTGGTTCCTTCAGGATGGTGGGGTAGATTTCTCCTGAAGAAGCCTTTCTGGATCAGTCAGGTGCAACAATTATTATTCATTCATCAACTAACTTCTTCCTCTAGGAAGAAGGTTCTAAAACGGACGTTGCTTACCTGAACGTCCCTTCTCGACGCGCAGCTGGAGAAAAAGTGATTTTCCAACTGCAAAGCATCCTGGAAGTGGTTTATTTGGGTTCCTTTCAATCAGTATTCAGATTTGGCCATGACACAGACCCTGTAATGGTCGCACTAGTGGGTAGATGAAACAAAACTTCAATAGGAGGAGTCTATCCCTCCTGTTCTGTGAAATCTTGTCAGTGATATTCAGTACTATCAACTATAGTATCCTTCTGACTCCTCACCAACATCATCCCAGGCTGAAAACTGGGAGCACTGTTTTGTAGTGGTGGGTAGATGGTTCCAGTCAGTGATAATTGGAGAATAATTGCCTACTCCAATGTCAAATGCTATAGAACAGCGGTGTCAAACACAAGGCCCGCGGGCCGGATGCGGCCTGTAATGTGGTCAGATCTGGCCCGTGGGCCAGCCCCTGACATTTTCCAGGACGGTCTACCCAATGCAAAGAGGAAACATGCCAGCAGTTTGGGCCACCCAGTCAGCCATGCCCACCCAGGCCCCCGAGATCAACCATAGCCGTGATGTGGCCCTCAATGAAATTGAGTTTGACATCCCTGTTATAGAAGATCTTTTCTGGCTCTGCCCTAATATTTAACATTCATACGAAGCCACTGAAAAAAGTAAACCATCAGCTCAGGAGGAGGTGTCATCAATAACACAAAGATAGATAGATAGATAGATAGATAGATAGATAGATAGATAGATAGATCTATTTATCTATATATTTCTATCCAGGTCAAGTCTTGATGGAGCAGAAGTCCTAACTTTATATCGGGAGGCCATAATGATTGAGGGGAGGGGGAGAACTGATGATGAATTCCCAGCAGAAACTATCTGGCTTGGTAGCTCTGGAAGGACAATACTAGCTCTGAAACAACAGATGTCCAACTTGGGGGTCATCCTAGACCTAGATCCATGGTTACTATTGTGGCTAGAGGAGCTATACCCAGCTTCAGTTGCTGGGGCTTTGGTATCTTTTCCTGGAGAAGAAAACCCTGGCAAAGTGACAAACACCTTGTCACTTAAATTACTGCAATTTGCTCTACATGGGGCTGCCTCAGAACTCCTTGCCACCCACTTTAACGCTCCAGGATGTTCTTGACCACACCAATTTACAATTTATTTACACTTTTTTCTGAGTAGGTGGGTTTACTTGCAAACAAAGCAGATTGGCCTATAGCCACAAGTCATTTTAAGTACATGAAGTCTGACTGTGTCTGAAAGGTATTTTGAATTCTATCAATTTCCTGTTTCATTATAATATTTTTAAATAATTAAAACTGCAGCCTAAACAGTTATTTCACAAAGAAAGAAAAAAAACTAAAAAAGATGAGAAACCTTTTCTATATAGTTAGCAAGATTCTGGAAAACATAGAGAAGACATATGGGATCCCTGCTTTTAATAAACAATTGAATGAAAGTATTTTTATGAACTTCATATGATCTTCCATTATTATATTATGAAACAAGAACAGACAACTTTTTTGAAAGCTGGAAAAGAAAATATTTGTTTTCATACTCACTTTTTACATGAACATAGATTCAAACTACAAGTTGGATTTCTACTTACAGAAGCTTAAATTTTTTGTTCATTAAATACCGGTACACTACTGGCATATTCTTGCTCAAGGCAGCTCACCACAAACCATATATTAATACCTTACCAAAAAAAGATAACCTAATATTTTCCTATCTCATCACCGCTTTGTAAACCTGGATGCCGCTCCATTTTAGTGGACCTGAACTATGCAATGCAGCATTCTGGGTTTTTTTTTCCTCAAGCACATCCAGACATGACATAATAATCTACTATCTACTAACAAATGGTTCCAGATATAGTCAGTCACAAAAACTGTTTGACAGTATGCAACTTAACACCCATGGTAGACTATTGATACTCATTATTTGCAATACTGAAAAACATTTGGGTGGAGGAAGGTTGTTCATTCTTCGTTGTCATTTTTTGATATTGTTTCTGCTATTATTTCTAATTTAGATATGCAATTGTTGCTCCTATTGTTTTCATAACATATTTCTGACAATTTCCTTTGACCAAGAAAAATTTTAATTACGGCAATATAAAAATAATAATCATGTATGAAAGGCCTCAGATATTGTGCATCCAAATGTATTCACATCTTCTTCTATTATAGATTATCCTATTTGGCCTCATTGCTCAATGTGTAATTTAAGAACCATGCAACTGTTCCTCAACTTTGAAATATGCATAGCTACCCGGATTTCAAAAGGAATGAGAGCCGTGTAAATGGGTGGATCAAAATTATTCTGTTAATGTTATCATTAATTGTTTTTGACATAAATAAGCTCTGCTTTCTTTAGTCACTGTTGTCAGATCATCTCTAAACAGCAATCAAGACTCAGCGTGTATTTAATGGGTTGTATTTATTTTACATAAGAGACTTTACTGACACCTGAAAAAGGATTTCATCCTGTACCATAATTCAAGGTTGTAACATAATGTATAACAACTACAAAGAGAAGGATGAAAATGAGAGCTGAGCCTTGAATACAGTTTTCTTTCAACTCCCATGTAAATTCCAATATTCACCCCTGAATTCCTTAACACAAGGGATCACGTTCACCACTTACAATGGTAAATTTGGGCTCAGATCCAGCTAGTCTGCCTGTCTAATACTGATGAAAAATTAGGCGCCACCAGATAACAGTAGTGATCAGAAAGCTCTTTCAGAAGCTTGTAACTGATAACAAATGAAATTAGTACACTGTTTTAATTAAAGGTCTTCTTTCCACAGGATGCAATAACAGGAAGATACAGACCAGGGAGTTGACAGTCAACCATCACCATCTGTTCCTCTTCTTGGTTTTGTGAAATGCACATTTCAATTCCAATTTGGTGAGGTTGGCAAATAAATGGAATATCCAGCACAGATATAAAACTCATGTCCAGGACATTTATTAAAAGCAAAACAATTCATAATGAGAATTAAATACCGTCTTTATTCTTTCAAAATGAAGAAATCGTTTTCCTCAAACTAAAATCCAATTTTCCCTGAAACTAGTAGAGGGTAATTATTTTGAGGTTATGGATCGTATCTCTCTTTGGTTTTATTCCATTCTTTATGTCCCTTTGGTTTTATTGCATTCTTTTTCTATTTCATTTTTGTGCCACTTAGAGCAGCAAGTAGGGTAGTGATGTCACCAGAGAAATAGGGTTGGGATTTTATCACACGCATGCCTTTTCTTTTTTTCTGCTATGTTTAGACTACTTTTTTTTTATGAAATAAAATTAATATGTTAAATCTTCCAGAGGCTTGCCTCTATTTTATCTTTTAAGAAAAAATGGAAAAAATGCTAATTTTTAAAAATTTGCCACCAAATTCCAATAATGCAATGTTGAGGGGCATTAAAAAATTGAAGATTGCCTACCCATGGGTGCCCAAGTGGTATCTAGCACTCAGGTCCCCCACTTATTCATCCAAGAAAGCTTGCTCAGGATTATGCTTTGTCTCTGTTATAAGCAGCAGGTATGCTGGGATGCAGTGAGGAATTTTCATGGCTTTCTCCTCTTCCATAATGTGGGTTCACTGCTTTTAAATTTAATGGAAACAGTGCTATTGCACTGGATGACTGGAGAAGCACTGAGATGTTTCCTGCCCTTCTAGCAAGCCCCCCCACTCAAGATTGCTACTCAATCACAGCTAACAAAAGTAAGGAATAAGCAACTCTAATCCTCTCACAGATGTAATAATAATGCCGTTTACATTGGTTTTCTCAGTACAAATTGTAAATCCAGGTGTTGTGTTTACGAACCTTAACTGTTGTCTATGGCTCAGTATTTTGTTTTAACTGAGGTATTATGGCTTGCTCAACAAACCATGGCTTAGGGTGACGAGGGAACCCAACCTCAGGATCATGGAAGCAATAGGGAAAAGACTTGCTGGGTCCTTCATCCCAACAATTCTACTTAAGACTGGTGCTTCTTTGCTCTCATTAGTGGAAGGGAGGCAGACTTTTTGTTCTCCCAGTTGATTAGGGAAAATTGGACGAGACACCTGCTGGCTGCATGTGGCCCATCGGTTGCCAAACCTTTCTCTAATCCTCTAATCCTTCATCAACAGAATGAAAACAGAGCAAATTAGTAGATTGGAGAACGATTCCTGAAAAAAGAATAATCAGATAAGAAATGTAGATATGTTATTTTTACTTATAAAAAGATCAGACACAACGTGTAGGGGGTGGATCCTACATGTTAAATGTTAAATTTAATTGATCACTTTTCCCTCTTTTTTTGTACGCTTTTTTTCTTTTTTATTGTTGTTAGGATTGAATGTACGCTTTTGTTTGTTTTACTGTTTTGTATTTTATCTTTTATGATAAAACAATAAATATTTTTTTAAAAAAAGATCAAACACAACATGGTACTACAATAATATTTAAGTACAGGTAGTCCTCGACTTGTTCATTTGATGACCATTCAAAATTACAGCAGCACTGAAAAATGTGTGACTTATGATGGTTGTTTTATAGTTACAAACCTTTGCAGCATCCCCATGATCGTATGATCAAAATTCAGATGCTTGGCAACTGGTTCATATTTATGACCACTGCTGTGTTCCAAGGTCATGTGATCACCTATTGCGACCTTCTGACAAGCAAAATCAATGGGGAAGCCATGATCATTTAACAGCTGGGTTACTAACTTATCAACTGCAGTGATTCCCTTAACAATTGTAGCAAGAAAGGTCATAACATGGGGCAAAACTCACTTAACAACAGAAATTTTGCGCTCAATTGGGGTCATAAGTCGAGGACTGCCTGTAACCAAGAACAGCATATTTTCATTTTAAAATTTATTCCACCTGCTTAAAAAAGAAAGAAATTCACGGGCAGCAAAACATCCTGTGACGTCTGAGCAGACTTTCTTTCAACTTTCTCACAAGCAAATAATGTGAATTGTAGCAAATATCAAAGATTGGCACCAACTGAATAACCCCAGAGAATGATTTATTTATAATTTTTGATTTTGACATGGTGAGCAGAGGATGAGATATGGTTTCTTCTTAAATATTTAATATCAGCAGCAATAAAGTGACTCCCTGTACATTGGTAATATTAATAAAAGATCATTCTTACATGGACTTCCAAACATTATTTTTATTCCAAACTCTACGGAAGCCTTTCTGGGGTTGTTCAGAAGTCCTGGTTCTGTGATAGACTCTGATGAAATAAAAAGTTTCTTTTTTAGTGTTCTTTTTTAGTGTTAGTGACTGCAATGATAGGGATTTTTATATGGTACATGTGTCAGCTGCTGGCTTGCTGCTCTTGTAAAATTTTTAAAACAATATATAGGTTAGAAGTAAATTGTTTTGTGAAATTTCCATGCTTTTTTGCAGGGGTTCCTTGAGACCTGAAAATTATTTGAAGGTTTCCTCCAGAGTAAAAAATGTAGAGATCAGTTGCTCTACTAGATTCTGGGTTTCTACTATACTGTAAACCCAAGGAGTTGTGGCAAATTCTGGAGAACCGGTAGTGGAAATTTTGAGCAGTTTGGAGAACCGGTAGCGGAAATTTTGAGCAGTTTGGAGAAACGGTAGTGGAAATTTTGAGTATTTCAGAGAACTGGCAAATGCCACCTCTGGCTGGCCCTAGAAGTGGGATGGGAATGGAGACTTTGCAATATCCTTTCCCCAGGAGTGGGGAGGGAATGGGGATTTTGCAGTATCCTTCCCCTGGGGTGGGGAACTTATTAACGGTGTGTGACTTAAATAGGCTAAGGGAGTGGCCAATTATCCTCAAGCCTTACTCTCGAGGACACTTCCTCCTCCTGAGTAGCCACTCCTGCCTTTTGGCAGCCCTACGTGCTTGAGCATTGAGGAGAGGCTCCTCCACTTCGTTATCTCCACTTGAAGGAGCCTCTGGAGGTTCTGAAGGCCCTGGCTCTGCCTCTGGCACCACATCCTCTTCAGCCTCCTCGCTGTCCGACGCGAGCGCCGGCTGCACAGGCTGCTGGCGTGACACCACACCAGCCTCCTCGTCGTCGGGATCAGCCACGATCCATGCAGGCCACTGGTGGGCCACAACAGAGATAGATTTTTTTCTTTTTCTGACCCAGTATGCTTTGGCATGGGGTTGGGGCAGACATAGATATTAATTTATGTTTTATGTAGAACGATTATTCAGATTTTCTGTATTAGCAGGATGGGCAGAATCACAACTTTCAGACTTCCATTCCAACATATCTAGAGGGTATAGGGTTCTGGAAGGCTGTTCTTAGCCTTGGTATTAACCTAGAGCAGTGATGGTTAACCTTTTTGGTGCTGAATGCCCAAAGCGCACACGCGTGCGTGAATGCAGGTGTGGGTGCCCGAATCCTCAAAATGCAATGTGAGCGCTCCCTGCGGATGCGCCCCACCCACATGCATGCATCTCCCTCGCATATGCCCCGGCTCCCCCGCGCCCCATTTTGGCTTCCAGGTTGGTGCAGGAGGCTTTCTAAGGGGCTTTCTGTGCCCTGTTTTGGGCATGGAAAGCCTCCTGCACCAACCTGGAAGCCAAAACGGGGCACGAGGGTGCCACATGAGGCACCTCTGCACACTATTTTGGGCCTGGAAAGCCTCCTGCACTAACCTGGAAGCCAAAACGGGGCACGAGGGTGCCACATGAGGCACCCCTGCACACTATTTTGGGCCTGGAAAGCCTCCTGCACTAACCTGCACCCCTCGACACACATGCGCCCCTCTCCCCACACATGCATGTGCGCATCCCCTACATGCGCCCAATCCCTGCGCATGCACGGCAGAGACCCAAAGACCATTTGGCCAGCGGGAGGTGCATACACATGCGTGGTGGAGCTGGGCTGGGACAATGGCTGGTGTGCCCACAGAGAGGCCTGTGTGTGTCACCTGTGGCACGCATGCCATAGGTTCGCCATCATGGACCTAGAGTAATGGTATGAACTGACAGTCAAAGGAACAGGTTATTATCACATAATATCTTGTAATAACAGGAATCTTCAGTACAGTATTTATTAACTACTTTTCATTTTAAGGAATACCAAGAGTATATATTAGGCCATAAATAATATGAAAATTATAAAATGCTACATCCGATGGTCTTCAACATCCATACGGTAATTTGACCAGATTTCAGTAAAATTTCCTTTTTCTTTGTTTTACACTTCTACCCTGGGTACTTTTATTTAGGTCAATGCATTGGAGAATGCAGGCTTAATATTGAATGCATTCAATTTATGATTAAGAAACGTATCTGTTTCTTCACCTCTTTTCCAAAATATCGGAACACTCCATCTCCTTACTGCAGCATAGAAAATTATGAGTTTGAAGAGGGCAAATTTATCGTTGCCTTTCCCCAAAGTGAACAGAAATCCCACAAATCAGAAATGATTGTTTCATTCATATGCAAATACATATCTTTTCAGGCTCTAGCCATATTGACACATGGGAAGAAGCCCGTTTAGTTCAACAGGATTAGCTTCAGAATAGACATATATAGGATTGTGTTGTTAATTCTTAATAGACTGCATGATGCAATCCTTGAATTACATTTATTGGGCAAGTTGAGGATTACTCTTGAATATGTGAATAGAGCGAAACCACTCTGAAGAGGCTGTCTTGCAGAAACAGACACAATTATTTTAAAGAAAGAGGAAGAAGGAAATGGGAGGAACCATCTAGGGCAGTGGTGTCAAACTCGCGGCCCGCAGGCTGGATGTGTCACACACTGGCCACGCCTACCCCCATTTTAGCAAAAGGGGGGGGGAAGTCACGATAAGTCACGTGACGACAATGTGATGCTGCGAGTTTGACACCCCTGATATAGAGGATGCCAAATGAGTAAAACAGCTCGACTGGTGTGAGTGGCAGTCCAGCACACGCACACATGCAGTTTGATGTGCATGAGTTGAGCTGTATGTGTGCGCCAACCCACCACTCGTGCGGCCCAGTTCTGAATAGGCCACGACCCAGTAGTGGGCCACTGCCCAGGGGTTGGAGACCCCTGATCTAAGGGAAATAAGTTCCTAAGCCTGCTGCATCATGTGATTTTCTACTTAGTGACCATGGCACTTACTGACCAAGTTGCTGTTGCCAACTGTGGTCTCTAAGCAAGAACTACCTGTAGTTTGAAGAAAAACTGGGGAGCAACAGAATACTGTAGGAGGAAATGAGAATTGTTAAACATTATTTTCTCTCTACCTCATTCTGCTAACAAAAAGATACAGTTGGTGGAACACATTAGCTGAATTCCATCCTTTTCATTTCATTTGTATAAATGCACTCCGATGTTATTGCAAGTCTTATTTCTCTTTCTCTTTTAATGTTGCATGGTATGATTTCAGTTAGGCCAATATTCCTATTCTCTTGTTTATTATCGTTGTAAATTGTTATTATTAATTATCAGTTCATCAAAGGGATTCTATTTTCCCAGTGCAAGAGTACAGAATACATAACAAAAAATGCAATCTATTTATATGTACATATGGGTATGCATGTATAAATGGCCAAAAGTAAGTTCTGCCTTACATTCATATTCTGGGATATGACAGAAATTCTATATAGTCTAGGAGAACTTTTATTTATTTATTATTTATTTATTTATTCATATTTGTATACCGCCCTACTCCCGAGGGACTCAGGGCGGTGAACAGCCATAATAAATACAAATACATATAGAAGTTAAAACCTATTAAAAAACAGATTAAATAATTTGGCTCAAAGATTAAAACATCCAGATTTATCTAAAAGAGGTCTAAAACCTGATTTAAAAGCCAATTTAAAAGCCAATTTAAAAAGGGAGAGTTAGGCCAGACCAGCTTGTTGGAATAGAAACGTTTTCAGGGCACGGCGGAAAATGCGTAAGTCTTGGATGTTTCGTAACTCCGGGGGAAGCCCGTTCCAGATGGTAGGTGCCCCCACAGAAAAGGCTCTCCCCCTGGGGGCCGTCAGTCAACATTGTTTGGCCGACGGCACCCTGAGGAGTCCCTCTCTATGGGAGCGAACTGGTCGGTGAGAGGCTATTGGTGGCAGGAGGCGGTCTCGTAAGTACCCTGGTCCTGAGCCATGGAGCGCTCTAAAGACAGTAACCAAAACCTTGAAGTGCACCCGGAAGACCACCGGGAGCCAGTGCAGCTCGCGCAGTGAGGAATTATTTATTTATTTATTTATTTATTATTGCAATTTATATGTCGCCATTCTCCCGAGGGACTCAGGGCGGTTTACAAAAACAATATCCAATACAAATCACAATAAATTAAAATCAACAACCCAAATTAAAACAGTTTAAAATTATAGCAATGTACACCCATGGCGGATCAGCTAAGTTGACGAAAGAGCCACGTCTTCAACTATTCCATGGATTCAATTAATCCATGGAATAGCTTGCTTCCCAGATTTGTGGGTACTCCTTCAGTGGATGTTTTCAAAAGTAGACTGGACAACCATTTGTCCAAGAAGGTGTAAGGCACGGGTGTCAAACTCGCAGTGCCGCATGACATTTCATGACATTTTTTTCTCTTTGTGGAGCTGGAGTTGGCATGGCCTGTGCATGACACATCTGGCCCATGGGCCGCCAGTGTGACACCCCTGGTATAAGATGTCCTGCCTAGAAGAAGACCAAGGTCCCTTTCAGCCCTATGATTCTATGTTCTATACTCTAATATGGGCACCCAACTCATTAACATAGGTTGGAAATACATACTAGCAAGGAAATACATACTAGCATATTAACCATCGCTTGACAGCTCATTAAATAACTTTTTTTCCCTCAGAAGCAGAAATAAACATGCTTTACTAGCATGAACATAGAAGGAAGAAGTGATACATCAAATGGCTACTTGTAAACACAATATATATATATATATATTTACAGGTCAACATCTGAACTTTCAAGGAGACACAAATACAACTATAGCCTTCCTATTTGTTTTTGAATTCCAAGTATAAATCGAGTTTTTATCTGAAACGGAATATTTTAAAAGATTGAGAGCCACTTATCAGAAGATGCGGAGAGTGCCTACTTCATAATGATTTAGCTTTTTAAAATCAGCAAATCAGTGCATATAAGGATACTGAAGGCTCTCATGACCATTAAGATGTGTTTCAAAGAATATTATCCTGATTTTTGTTATTAAGAAATTAGAATATTATTCTAAGGAAATTATTAATCCTTGAAAACTGTTCCAATGCATAATCAGAACATTTACAATTTACTCCAATAGTGCAATCAATCATATTCCTGTAGACAGGCTATGCCAGAATTTAGACAGACAACTTATGAATTGCTTTAAAATTATATTCACATTTGCTTTCTTAAAGAAAAAGTATCAAGTTCATCAGACATCTCTTTCAAACTACTCCTATATATAACTTTCAATCTAACAAAAGTTAGACTTTGCGATCAAAGAGACACATTGGCTGCAATTGCCATTGCAAACCTATACTTAATCTAAAAATAAGAGTCTTTAATGGAAGTCCAAGAATATAATACACAAGTCTATGAAGGCAACCCCTCCTACAAGTCAGACTCCTGGTGATTTCATAGATACAGGATAACATGTGAGATTTTTGGCAGCAATATGGAAGCAGTTTGCCACTGACTTCTTCCCTGATGGTTCCTCCTTTAAGTACTAACTAACTCCAATCCTGTTTAAATTTCGAAAATCAGCTATTTTATACTAAATAAATTCTGTTGATGCAACACAATGTAGGATCACATTTGTACAAACTGGATCTAAACCCTTTTAGGTATATCTCCCCAATCATTATTCAGGCTTTAGATAACCAGACACCGATCAAGATTTGCAAACTTCAATTCAGATTAAAGCATATTTCCCGTTTATGGAGTTACAGGAATCCTTTAATCCCTATATACCATAACTTCTACAGTCAGGATGGAGCACAAGTAACAAGAAAGCATGCTTAAGATATAATTCCAGCAGCAAATTTCAAGGAAAACTTTCATCGTGGGGAGAAGAGGACGTTGTACAGTACATCGGTTACTTTTGTTGGAACTCTTTGGATTTTTTTTCCCGACACTTAATAAACTTGGAAATTCTGAGTTTCTCTAAAATAATAGCATTACTAAATAAAAGGAGAAAGACTTAATCGAGTCCTTCCTGCTAGATAGAAAAGCTATTATAAGTCAGCATTCAGGCGTGCTATACGAGGCATCCGCTTTCCTCGCCTGTGGAATCGCTCTTCGCAGTCGGCTCTGAGACAATCACAGAAGGCACTTACCCGTGAACAGGCGCAGCATACCAAGAGCACCCCTGGGCGCCGCCATTTTGCATAAACACGCCGGTCACGTGGGAGCGGTGTTACACTCCCACCCATGGCCCGCCACTGAGCCGGGAGAAGACGGCAATTCAAGCGAAGGAGGCAAAAAAGGGCGCGCGAAAAGGGGAGGGGAGGTGCCGAGAGGAAGCCACGCCCCTTTCTCGGCTGTTGCTCGTCTTCCTTTCACTCGATTGCTTGGAGAGCAGGTAACGCGTAGGTGGTTCCCGCCCCCCCCCCGCCCCCCCAAAAAAGGCAACTTGGATTTTCCTTGAAAGTGTTTCGCTTTTTTGAAGAACCGAAGAAGCTTCTTGAATGAAAAGCGAAACGTCTTCAAGGAAAAACCTTGGCAACCAGTTGCTTGCCTTTTGAAAAAACAAAAATATGCTAAGGTTGTCCTTTGGGACAACCACCAGATGCCTGAAAATCTCCATAGACAAAGAGCAAAGGGTTTGCAACTGTTGTGCAGTTAAATGCCTATGGAGATTCTCAGTCATCCATGTCATGGTTGTCCCAAAGGTGCTTTTTCAAGAGGAAACTCGACTTTCTGGTTTTTCTTTGAAGACGTTTCGCTTCTCATCCAGTCACAGCTGAAGAAGCTTCTTGGATGAGAAGTGAAACATCTTCAAAGAAAAACCAGAAAGTCCACTTGCCTCTTGAAAAAGCACCTTTGGGACATATTGTACAGCTATAGTGGAAGCCAACAGCATCCCTTGGGCGATGTAGACAAGGATAGTTGTGTATCTTTCTCCTTTGAAGGAAACCTTGAAATGTTTCAATACTCTTGGTTTCTTAGGACAAATCAGCCCTTTTTGAACAGCGGGGGTGGGGGGAGCGCGAATGCAATTGAGTCCGAAATACTCAAGTGAGTCCCGAGATACTCACTTGGGACTCAACCACCTACCTCGCTTCGGGCATCCCTTGAAATTCTTCACCTTTTTATCCACAAATGGGATGCAGAGCCCCTCCCCCTCCCAAAAAAGGCAGCAAGTAAAGTGAAAATATGGTGCTGATTTTTTTTCACTAAATACTTGATCACATGGCTCTGAGCAGTCCCAGTTGGTCGCCTATAAATATCGGGCTGCTGTATTTTCCCCAGATAATATACAAGTAGTCCTTGATTTACAACAGTTTTAGTGACCAAAGTTACAACAGCACTGAAAAAGGGACTTATGACCATTTTTCACACTTAGGACCGTTGCAAGCATCCCCATGGTCATGGTCACATGATCAAAATTCATGTTTGGCAACTGACTCATATTTATGATGGTTGCAGTATCCCAGGGTCATGTGATCCCCTTTTGTGACTTTCTAACGAGCCAAGTCAATGGGGAAACCAGATTCTCTTAACAAGTGTCACTAACTTTACAATTGCAGTGGTTCATTTAACAACTGTGGCAAGAAAGCTTGTAAAATGGGACAAAATAGATTTAACAAATGTCTCGCTTAGCAACATAAATTTTGGGCTCAATTGCAGTCATAAATTGAGGACTACCTGTAGTACTGGCATTCCAAATGCCATGTGATGATGATTGATTGATTGATTGACTTAAGAGCCAGTTTAGTACAATGGTTAGGCTAGAAACAGGAAGCATGCCAGCTGAGTCATCCTGAGTAAGTCCTTCTATCTCAGCTATAGGTATCTGGCAAGGGCAAACCACTTCCAAAAATCCTTGCCAAGAAAACTACAGAGCTAGTCCAGATACTTGCACTTTGCCAACTATCACTGCATGATAGATTTCTGTACATTCTCCTACTGCCTCAAAAGTTTTGAAACTGCATTTATTGATGTTGTATTCCATATTTCTGAGTGATAAGGACTGTGCAAAGCAAATGCTAACATACAAAATGTTATTACAGAGATTGAAGTATTTGTGTGGAAGTAAGCTGCCACAAATTTACTATAATACCAGGAGAGCAGACATAATTAAAATACATTGAATTACAACCACCATCAGGTCTACAAACTTTTTGAAGAATATCTGAGATTAAGCTCTTGTTCTTGGGGGTGAAGTTCCACAGTCACATGGCTACAACCAAGAAATTGTCCTTCCTGCTACTCTGAGGAATCTTACTAGGAAGATTGAACCTGAACTGGGTCTCTATTGTCCCTCCTAGCAGCCAGGCAAATTACCAACCAAATTACGAATGAGTTTAAGTATATTAATTGCCATATTTTGAACTGAGATCAGAAATATACTAATACTTTGTAGCTAATAGTTGGTTAGTCAGCTGATTCTGATAAAACCTCAATATCCCCTACCACACCAATAAAACTGGAGCTCAGTTCTTCCCATCACCTACACCTTTCTGCTTCCATAACTTGACTTTGACAGAAAGCAGGAGTCAATAAACCTGAGATAATTGGTCTAACTGGATGAAGCTATTCTGTAACTGTATTGGATTGGTCCACTGTATTGGATTGGTCCACTGGCAAATAATTTCAAATACTCTTGTGTAAAAAGCAATCCAAAGGAAATTATGTTGTGGCTTTTCCAGTTCTGCTAATTTACCATTCGGGCCAGATCAAGCTAAATTAACCTTAAGGCAAGAATTTGACGTAGAAGGTCATCTGCTGCCCTCTCATGGGATGTATCTATATATCATGTTAACAGAATTTTAATTCCCAAATGCACTTCATATTTATACCAAATTTTGACCACTATACTTTAACTCATGGAAAGTAGCAAACTTGTAATACTATGTGATCTATGAGCTTCAGCCACAAATGGTAACAGTCATTAAATGTAGTTAGGTGCTAATTTTATTCAGTTTGGTACACAAATTCATCACAATTTTTACTCTTAGGCATTGGGCTCATTAGAATGACAGACCATACATTTGGGGGGAGGTACTTTAGGTTTTAGTCTTTAAATTCCCCACCATGCCTTTCTATGTTGCACCTAAAGTTCTGCAGGATAGTCAAACCATTCAGTATTATGTTGTGAAATGCTGCAGACTTTAGTGATTTGGATCATGGATCCGAATATTCTCAAAGGTGAGAGAGGGCTTGCAATCTTTATTTATGCCATTGTACTTTGGTATCTTGTTACATCATCTCAATTGATAAACTAGATCTTACACATACTATGCAGGGATTCAGACCAGTTTTGTTAATGCTTGTAATCTACTTTCTTTATTTCAGCAAAGTGCCAGTAGATTGAGATACTGGTTTTTAGAATCTACAACACAAAAATATAAAAAATCCAAAATACAGAAAACCACAGTCATTTTGAAAGTGATTAAAATGTCACATGAAATTTTGCAGTGGAGCAGTGATCATGAATGTATTTCACAATGCAATAGGCAGAAGTTTGCATGTTTCTTATAGAGAATCCTCAGACCTGAGCAAGTCGTTCTAGGACTCGTCGATAATCTGAAATAAGTTGCTGGTACGTCTCTTCCAATTGTTTATGTTGTAAATTTATGTCTATTTGGTTCAACTGATTGGTCAACTCTTCTGGTCTTAAACATCTTCTCATCTTGGCAATCTCTCTCTGCTTTTTCTAGAAAACAAAGGATTTACACATATGAACAACATTACCACATTTCACCACCTCCTGACAATTTGTTGACACTGTGATGATGATTTGTATTCTACTAAAATAAATTAAAGGTTAATTGGATATTTCCTTACCAGGAATGGAAGCAGAAAATGAAAAGAACTTGGAGAAGGGATATTCAGACAAAATAAAAAGAAGGAAAAGAAGTTGGCATTTGGGAAAGCCTGAGTGGTGGACAAAGTGTTCATTCACTCCTTCCCCTCATGAGAAATTCAAATAAAAAATTTAAATGACAGAAAAGCTACCTTATATGGGCCCATCAATCTTCTTTTTACATCCAATCTATAACTTCTGGATTGTTCTGCATTACTCATGTCTGTTGCATGTAACCGGAGAATTTCATAAACTCGCCGTGTATGTTGCTAACAGTAAAAGGAAAAACATATGATAAAAGGAGTTGGAATTATGGCTCCCAATGTACAAAGTTAAAAATCTTGCCTATTGTCTTTTCTTCTTGACTGTTTCCATTCCTTAAACTTCAGCAGTCACTGTACAATTTATCATATTAGTTTTTACCTATCCTCCTTTTTCAAGGACCTAACTTTCTCAAATCTTATTTATTCATTTTTAGCACTTATGTACCACCTAGCCTACATAACTCCAGGTTGTTTAAAATAGTAAGATTAATACATAAAATTTAAACATATCAAAACCTAACCTCAGCAAGATATAAATTGTGAAAACATAGCAGACCATCCACACTAAGCTCCTGATCGAAAGTAGTACATAATTCTAATAAGCAAATAAATAATTCTGGAGTGGGTGGGTGGGTGGATGAGGTGTGTGTTACAATTTATTCACATTTTCATTCTAGGCAAAAGATTTATTTTCATCTTGCAATCTGTAAATTTCAAACAGTCGAGCCTTTTGAACCTTTTCTCCCTAGAAAATTGGTGTCCTAAATTTCTCAAAGGCTTTATTGAATAACTATACAAAAGTCAAATCTCAACAACAATTTGAAATTGATTGTTGGTAACCAATACAATATTACCATGAGTTTGAAAAAATAATATCTTGATTCTTGACCTAGAAACATTGTCTAAAAATTCAAAAAGCTACCTTAAAACACGTGGGGTTCGTAGAACCTATCAGTAAAAGAAGCTGTACTGTACTAGTTTTCAACTGTAAATAATTCCTTATCTAAGGGCATTTTGCAGGTACTCTTAGACCCAGAGTCATTTGTTCAGTGTCCATTCAAAGTCATGACAGCGCTGAACAAATGGTAGTTATAACCTGTCCTCAGTATTCTCACCATCCTAGCACCCCTTTGGTCACATGATCACAATCTGGGCACTTGGCAAGCAGTTCACACTTATGACCAGTTGCAGTGCTCTACAATCATATGATCACCATTTGCAATCTTCCCTGCTGGCTTACTCAAAAGGTCAATTGGAAAGCCATCAATCTGGGAAGCATCCCCCACCCGTGCAGCGTCCTGTAGACCCTCTACACTTGCATTGCATTGGTCAATCATGAGCCTCATGCACTCTTCCCAACCCTTGTCACGCCTTTCTCGCACTCTCACCAACTTGGGCCATGACTCTTGCATACCCTCTCATGTACCTTTCCTGGATTTGTGGCTCTTGGGAACCTATCCTGGCCCTCCTCCACATCTCCTCATTCCCGCCCCCTGCCTGCTAGTTTGGAACATGCAACTTCCTGTTAGCTTCCCCACTGACTTTGTGGGGAAGTCTGGTTGTGAGAAGCGGGCAAGAAATTGGCTCGCCTAATGATAATGGAATTCAGTTAACAGCGGCAACCGGGACTGTAAGGATTGTCGGCCCTAGAGATGATGAGATCATGCTTATCAACATAAATTTGGTCCCAATTGCTGTCATAAATTGAGATTGTCTATATCTCTATCATTCTATACTCCCTGCAGCTACAAGGGAAAAGAGAAATCAACAAAAATCTTATTTATCAAAGTCCCAGGTTGGATATAGAATACTTCTTCAAACAGGACACCAATTTGCAAAATGTCAATATTGGATACATTTAAAATATTATTAATACCTTATTTACTTTCAGCTTCTGTTGAGCTTCTATTACCATATCTTGACTGAAGCCTTGCTTAAGATTTTCTGGAGAAAAGCAGGGTAAATCTTGACACAATTTGACTAATACAAAATCTCGCAATTTCACATAGCTTTCAGATGGATCTTCAGCTAGAAGAAGAAAAAAGACAGTTGTTAGATTTGCAAGCAGAAGTTTCCCTTTATGAATTACTACTACTAGACCATTCAAAACAGTTAAAGAAACACCCGCAATTATCCATATACCCATACCCAAGGCCTGCAAACATTCCATAGTTGCTTTCAGTAAAAAAAAATAAAAAATCCAACAAATCTACCACAAGGGTTTACTTAACATTCTCATTCAAATACCCAAGATATCTTCATTGCTTTATGAAAGTGGTAGGGGTTGGTGCTGTTCCAGTGGGCAGGTGGAACAACACAAGCACAAACAACAAGCACAAGCAATTGGAGATCAGTGGCCTTGCAAGTAACATAGTCCTATGCCATGTAGGCAATAACGAGCACTTTGAAGCTCAGTGGAAATTGGTGCATCTGGAACCCACTGGAAACTATTGCAGCTCACATAGCAGGCAAGAATGTGTTATGAAATGCCTGGAATTTCTGAAATGCTGCATCCTGCTGCATTCTGGACAAGATGCATATTCTTGTCCAGAATGCAGACCCAACTAGAGTATATTACAGTAATAGAAATAGGGGGGAGACTGAAGTGCACCTCCCATTTCTATTACTATAAGGAGTGCTTCCTCATATAGAAAAAGGTGAAATCAGTACGAGATAGAATCCATTAGACTTGGGAAGTTAATAAATCTAAATACAGGTAGTTTTCCTTAATGAAACTAATTGGGATTAGAAACTCCATTAAGAGATGTGGTTGTAAATTGAAAAAAAACATGTGACCACACTGCTTAGCAATGGCAGTTCCGGCAGTCCTGGTTGCCATCATTAAGTAAGAACCTTATGTGGCTTGCTGCCAGCTTCTTCATTGACTTGGTTTGTTGGATGCCAGCAGGGAAGGTTGCAAATCATGAGCATGTGACCATGGGAAGTTGTGACAGCCATAAATATGAGGACCAATTGTAACTGCCACTTGTTCAGTGCCATTCAGTACCAAGTTCAAATGGTCACTGAATGATTAAACGAGAACCATCTGTAAATACAATAAATCTATTAAAATCTGTGCAAAGCCTCTCCTGGCCACAGCTGCCAGTTACTCTTTGAGCGAAACTATTATCTCAATAAGACCTCCAAACTGCACAGCAGTTCTGTCTGAGGAAGTGCAATCCATTCAGAGCAAAAGATGGAAGTTTCTGAATCCAACCCTCCTCTCCAATTCATAGCTACCCAGTTATGCCAGACTGAGCTGAAGCCTGTTCTTCCCCATCCAGACCTTCACAGCCTTCAGACACTAGGAACTCCAGACTCAGCAGTGTACTGGTAATACCATACCGTGTCTCAATGGATGGCCTCATCTAGTTAGCTTCATTTAGCTGTTAGGAATAGAGAGTGTTCAGTCCTGAGTATCCCCACAGAGCAGAAGCTTCAGGCTCAACTTCTTTTCCCTATTAACAATGATTAGATTGGCCTTGGAGAAAGGAGGACCACCACCATAACACTCTTGTTTCCCTGTGTCAAGAAGGGCCAGGACAGCTGCACTATTCCCCAGCTTATTCCCCAGCATATCTGAAGAGTTCCTAACCTCACTTCAAAACTTTAACTCTTTGCTACATGCTTAACCCTCCTCACAATCTATTCTGAGTCCTGCAAACTCATACCCAACTCTGATACTATCCCACTCCAAAACAACACTTTGCAAGGAAATGTACACAAACACATTTCAAAAATTATAGAGTGTAAAAACTAGCTCCCATTTTCCTCTTCTGAATATTCCAATAATGACTCAGATATAGTAACATCCCATTTCATTCTACATACATCACATCGATTTCCTATATTTTAGTTAGCTAAATGTAATGCATACATTCATTATGCTTATACTACTACACTCTCAAAGACTCGTAACGATTTGCAATATAAACACAAACACAACCAATAAAACAATGTATTATAATACTTAGCGTCATTCTTAGGCATCTGCAACTGATGATCTTAACCATTAAAACATTTTTAAATAATTGTTTTTAAGATGATTCTAAACACTGGACATTAAATGAATTTTAATCTATATCCCACGCACCCCCACACTGTTGTCTTTGCATATTTAACTTTTCATACATACATATGTATGCATCCATATTTGATAATGAAAGCCATGAATTTTGAATATTTTTTCTTAATATCTCACAGGTTGATTTAATAGACCACTGTAAAGAGCAATCCCTTGTGGTGAAGAAGCATTTTTTCCTACATATTTTTGGTTTCCTTCCACATAGGATTTTACTTAAAGATACTGTGACCAAGATTGTCAGTCTTCGGCAGAAGAGATTTTTACTCATCCTTATAAGGTGTAGCCCGTCTCATACCAGGATTCCCTCATCCTGATAACTTGGGCCATGGTCCCAGAAACCAAATCAATCCAATTAATACATTTTTGAATTTTTTGTTGCATCTCCCAATTCTGAACTCTTTCAGTCTATGAGCAACAAAATAAATTATTAAAGCTTAGACTGTTATAAAAAATTCCATTAGTTGGTTTAATTAAATTTGCCAGTCTCAGTGTTTGAATTAACTCTGAATCAAAAAAAGAGGCAAAATTATACAATGTAATTTACTTAGGCATAATAAATATATCTAATATTTCTTAAAAACTGAAGCCACTACTATCAAGTACTCCGTTCTTTGATCTAAAGTTATTTTTGTGCACAAAAATGTAACAAATTGTCAGTATGGTCTCAGTAAAGACCTTTCATGAATGTTCATTGCATCCAAAGTTTCAGAAGCCATGAGAGTATTGGGACCAGACAATGAATGTAACAAATGTGCAATGGCCTCAATTTAGCCATAGCTTTCTGTTGGCTATTCATGTATTCAAATTATTATTTTATTTATTGATTGATTGATTGATTGATTGATTGATTGATTGAATTTATATATGGCCCTACTCCCGAAGGACTCAGGGCGGTGGACAGCCTAGAGATAAAACATACATATTACAAACGTTAAAAAACCAGTTAAAAATACATTAAATGATTTGGCCCATAGACAAATTTAAAACACCCCAATTTATAAGACAGATTTAAAACAATTTAAAAGGAAGGTTAGGCCAGACCAGCCTGCTGGTATAAGAATGTTTTGAGGGCACGGCGGAAAGTACGCAAATCCGGGATCCTCCGTATCTCCGGGGAGAGCTCGTTCCAGATGGCAGGTGCCCCCACAAAGAAGGCTCTCCCCCTGGGGGCCGCCAGTCGACATTGTTTGGCCGACGGCACCCTGAGAAGA